CTTGGGGGATGGGTGGGAGTAATTTATATTAAATAGTAAAGCATGCTGGAATGACTATTCTATTGCTAGTTAAACTTAAAAATTACTGTTTATTATAGTCCAAATTCTGTTAACACATTTACCTTAAAATGAAAATATGTGGAAATAAGCAAAGATATTTTTGCTCTAAGAATTTGCATGTCTTGCTTAAAAAAAAGGAGCCTAAAAAATTGTGTATGATGTTAGATTAGAATGGTAATGTTTTGATTAAATCAATATCATCTTTTCTGTACTCCTTCTGTGTCTAATGTATTCTTAGTTTATCAGTTTGTTACTTGAATTTGGGAAATAACCTGACACACTGGACAACAGATATTAAAAGTGGGGGTTTTGACTGAGTTGGCTGACATATTGATCACATCATATTTAGTTCCAAAAGTAATCTCAAAATCAATAAAGCAGACTGGAATATGCTGAAGCTACTCTTGCTATACAAAAATTAAAAGTTTTATAAATTTAAAACACATATTCTTAAGCAGAAGGTCCATATCCCTAATGACAGCCTATTGGTGTCAATAAATTTATGCCAGGAATAAGGTTCTATCCAGGTGGAGTTTCATGTTCCATTAGGTTCTTAAGGAAAAGCATCCTTCTCACATTACACTACTGTACGAATTGCTGTAATGATTTTCACCTATATATTATTGTCCTTGACATAAGAAGACCATGGAACTATCAGAGAGCATTCAGGAGAGGTTGACCAAGATGGTGAAACGCAGGGAGAAGCAGCCAGGATCACTTGGTTTGTTGGAGCTTGGAGAAGAAATGGCTGAGGGAAGACTTCATCTCAGTTCTCAACTTCCTCAAGAAGAGCAGAAGAGGGGAAGGAGCTGACCTCCTCCCTCTGGTGATTAGTGATAGGACGTGCGGAACAGGAATGAAGCTCCATCAGGGGAAGTCCTGACCAAAACCAGATCAGGAAAAGATGCTTCACTGAGAGGTTGGTCAGTCACTGGAAAAGGGATCTCAAAGAAATGGTCATGAAACCAAGTTCCAAGGAGCAGCTGAATTATGAAAATATTTATTAATAACAATCATAATATGGAAATAGCAGTAATTTTCACAAAGATCCTACACGACTCAATAATTGTGTTGGGTAAAAGGAACTGCAAATATGAATTTTCTTACAGGAATGAGGACTGGAACTCAACTATATTGATGACTTTTTTTTACTCCCTTCAAAGAAAATACATTATTTTTCATCTGTTGTCAACAATGCATTTTCAATGGATGGGATATGATAGTTTTAACAAATCTTTTCTAAATTAAATAATATTTAGGTTTTAATTTCCCATAACATCTACATGACAACATAATCTCACAAGTGAATGACAGTCAAATATTATTTCTATATCTGTAATATGAGTCTTCTAAAATATGAAATTTTATTCTTAAAAGTGCATTACAGATAAGAAAGTTGATAAGACTTTCCACTATTAAAATGTAATTTTTAGACCAGTAGTTGTTGTTAATCTATTCTTCTCCTCATCTTTCACTATATTCTATAATATTATTGCCAAGACCCACTACTGAGTTAATAAATGCCAAATATTAACCAAACTTAAGTGGATAAACTAATAAATAGGAGCAGAAATTCTGAACACAGCTTTTATAAACTTTATTTAAAAAAACATCCGAACAACAAAACAAAACCATGGTAAATATGGGGTTTAGGAGATTAAAACCCTTTTCTATTAACACATACAAAGATTAGAGATCATTTCCATTTTAAATACGTACTGACATGCATACCAAGTGGGGTAAACATGTAGGACAAGATCCCGGGGCTCGGGATTACAGGGATCTAACAGCAGTCAATCCAAAGCAATGACAGCATGTGACAGAGGTAGGAGGTCCACTTATAAATACCTTTGTTGTGAGCCATGATGAATCTGCAAGCATTGTTGCTAATGCACTGTGATCCTGTTTTGGGGTTTTTTTTTCTGATTTGTAAGTTTTTTTAATTTTTCATCTCACTTCCAGTTACTCAGTTCTGCAGCAACTTTATTTTTACTGTTTTAACATATTTTTTTCCTGGCATAGAGGAAACAACCTGAACCTTTAATGAAAATAGGAATGAAAAGAAAAATACAAATGTTTAGAAATTTTGAAACAGGAGTCCTCTTACTTGGCTAAAATATTAAAAATATTCTGAAAAAATTGCACAGGATAAATAATCAGGTTTTTTATAAATATAATGTGGAATTTCTATAATACCTTATTTGGATCTGTTTATTATCAACATAACACAAGGCTTCACCTTAACTTGTGATTTTAAATTATTGGAAACTATGTCCTTAGTCTTCATTTTTGCAACTGCCAAATTTTAAATTATATACCAGCTGTTATTTTGCTCATATATAATTAATTAGAAATGAAAAAATATATGTTCTTAAATACTCTTTTTATATGTTCTTATTACATATCCATAAATATTTCTGTGCAAAATTAATTCAAATTGCCCATCACTTAAATATGACAAGAATATCTCTAATTGCAAGAATGCATTGCAGTTTATGTTAATATCTTTTATATAGTTTCTTTGCTTTGATCACTATTTTTCCCTGAAGTATTTTGTATTGAATGACTTAAACCCCCTTGAAATCAATAAAACAGTTTTCATCCAGTAGATCCATGGACTTCTATTTTCTAGAGCATATGAGTTGTTCCATTCACTTTGGTCATGCACCCACTTACAAACATAAATAGCAACCTCATAAGTCTAAGTGAAATATAAATCAAAATCAGTTCTATTTTTCAACTAGCATTGAAATAAGAAAGTGATTCTGTATCTTGTAAGTGATTAAAGTAAAACTGATCTCAAATTTTGGCACCTTTTCATGTTTCCAATACTGCTTTCACTGAAACAAAATAAAGAGATGAATACACCCCAAAAGTCATTAATAATCTGCCACCATTTCCTTCTGGCTCAAAACGTAACTAAATAATTCAGATAGACTTGTACTACTGATGAGCTGTCTGTTTTAACCTCACTGCACTAAGGAACACCCTTTGTCTCAAATAGGCAGCATTATGCCTAATCCCTGTGCTTTTTCTGGGGCCAAATAGCCTTTGTTTGCAGCTGACACACAGATATATGTTTTCATGGCAAACTCAGGATATGTGCCAAATCATTCTGGCCAATTTATCCTGGCAGTCAGTTTTAGCTGTTTACCCTCCCCCACCAGAAGACTTTCCAGTTCAGGGGTATTTTGTAGGACTCAGTTGCAAGTGGGTAGAAATAAAATGAAATCATTAAATTTTGTTGATGAAGTGAAATAATTTCTTGAAGAAGAAATTCTAAGGTATTAGGTAAACTTCAGAGAGGGATCTCTTAAAGTTCCTAGTGTATTCTTTCCTAAAATCCTGCTGTGCTGAAGATTTAATTTGTAATATACTGGCACATAATTTTTTTTATAGTAAGCATTTTAAAAGTGTTCTTAAAGACACCTAGATCTCCATTTCAATAATATTAGGGACACTACTTTTCTTGACTTTCCATTGGCAAAATATCTACCATTATGATTGTATTATACTTGCAAAACTTACTTCTGCTGGAATAGCCTATTATTTGGAAAATTGATAATAAATTACACAGCACAAAGTAGAGCTTCTTGATGGTTAACAGTAGGAGAGTTTACTAATACAATTTTGCTAGGACATAGTTGTCTTTAATAATTTCAAGTAGTATATATTTTACTAGTGAGCAAATTAATCAGAGCAACTCAAATTTTGCTACATAATTTAACATAAATTTTGCTTACAAGAGAAAAAAATCAGTGCCTTTTTCATTATTGTCTTATTTTTCCTTTGTCCACTGTGCAACATCTTCACTTTCCCCCTTTCCACTCCTTTTCCAGGAAGATTTCTGATCTTCTAACATACTTTTGTATAGGAGCAAAATTCTAAACCAATCCTGATTAGGGGCCTATATTGTAAGATTATATTATTCCAGAAAGGGGATCAAGCTTGACAATAGAATCAAAGAAACTAATTTTGCTGTTAATGTATCTTTTTCCTTACTTTACTTGTAAAATGCCAAAATTTCAAACAAATAGAATGGTTGGTGGTGGGTGGGCAAAATGACACATAAAATAGTAATACTGTTAGAGGAATTACAATAACAGATTGGAAAGAGGTATGCTGATCCCTTGAAAAATACACTGTTCACCATACTGTTAAGGGAATGCGTCTTGAAGCATCTGGAGTGACGGCTGGCTGAATTCAGTCTGTAGACAAGATGCTTTGCCAGTGTCCTTTTGTAAGGTAGTAACAAAAAGTACACAATCAGTAACACTGTAAACTGACGAAGCTACACAAGGAGATTCTGCTATTTCTCACATGTGATATTACATTGTTTCATTACAGTGGAATTACTCATAGTTTATAGCAGTTTTAATCCCTGAGTATCTATTTTTCTATTAAAACCAAAATAACACCCCCCCCCCCCCCCCCCCGTGCCCCCACCCATGGTTCTAACCTATCCTGCCTTTAGGGTTTCTGCGGTGCAGCTGAGGGTGGCGGCCCCAGCCCCCAGCCGGGCGCCCGCGGTGCCGGGGCTAGAGCCGAGCAGCGGCGCGCCACCCCGGCAGCGATCCCCCTCTCCACGCCCGTGCACATGAGCCCGACAGCGAGGGAGGGCACGGGAGCCCGGGAGCGGCGGGCAGCTGAGCCGCAGCGTCAGGCGCGGCACTAGGGCGGGCAGGGGCGGAAGGGGGCTCAGAAACAGCGTGAATCATCTCCCACTCTCTCCCTCGCCCACCATTTACACCGCTCGCTCCCTCCTTCTCCCCCTCCCTTCTTCCCTCCCTCCCTTCCCACCGATTCTGTCTCACTCGTTCTCTCTCCCCTCCTCTCCCACTCACTCTCTCCCCTCCTCTCCTCTCCCACTCACTCTGTCCTCTCCTCCTCCTGTCTCACTCTTTTCATTCTTTCCCCTCCTCTCCTCTCCCCCTTTCTTTTCCCTCTCTCGCCCCCCTCGTTCCCCTGTCTCCCTTCTCCTCATCTCCTGACACTGCACTGCAGCTGCTCCTCCAGTCCAGTCCTGCCCGCTTCCCTCCCTCCTTTCCCTTCCCTCCCCCCGGGTGCCAGATAAACAAGGCGCGCAGCATCCTCGACAATCCCGATCTTAGCTCTACATTTTCGAAAAGGACAAGAGAACGGGACAAGCCCCCTCCCCTCCTCCTCCTCCTCCACCCCCTTCCTTCTCCTCCTCCTCCTCCTCCCCCCTTCCCTCCCTGCCCCCCCACCAGAGAAGGGAAGAGACAATTCTCCTCCGAGCAGCAGCAAACATGATGGCGGCAGCTCCCATCCAGCAGAACGGGACCCACACCGGGGTTCCCATAGACCTGGACCCGCCGGACTCCCGGAAAAGACCGCTTGAAGCCCCCCCTGAAGCCGGCAGCACCAAGAGGACCAACACGGGCGGTGGGTATATCCTCTGTCACCTCCCTCCCACCCCCAAAGATTCCCATTTCTCTAATGTTATCATTCATCAAAATGGCGTCGGTTTTCAGCATCTACCAGTCTTTTTATTTAATATCCACGCTGGGGCTGTACAGCCGTGACCCTACGGAGGCGAGGAGGGAGCACAAGGGGCTCCCGCAGCCCAGCTATCTCCTTCGCCCGTTTAAGGATGGGCGACAATAAATGGCAGCTGGAAGGAGACGGCAAACGCTCTTCCCTCCTTCCACATCCTCGGGGTCGCAAGTTGAATTTCAGCCTTGCCGTGCGTTTTCCTCCTCCTTGGCCTCACTTCCATTGTCAGCGCGTACACGGCGTGTGTTTGCCGTGCCGAGCCGGGGGCGAGGGCTGGCTGGTGGCGGGGGGAGTCGCCCCTCGGCTACGGGGACTCGCTAGTTAACATCCTGCTGTTCCTGGAGGAGATGAGTTATAACGGGACCAGCATCTCCTTTATCCGTTTGCACTGGAGTCGTCATAACAATGCACCGAGGCAGAGGTGAATTTATTTGCCCAATGTTGAGAGCAGTGGTCTGGCTATACGTAGTGCATGGTTCCCCAGCTATGGTAATACGGGTGGGCACCACTGTCACACACAGGCACTAACTGAGGCGCTTTATAGTCTCAGGGAAGAGAAGTACTGTGAACTTAGATAATTTCTTCTGCTTAGGGGTAAAAATAACTCCAAAGAACCAACTTTATGAAACATGTTTCATGATATTTTGATATCCGTGCCAATGGGACGTTGCCATAATTGCTGGGGAGAACACAAGTCTGGGGAACCAGCATATCCCTGTTGCCTTGCACTTCTTCAGAGACAGTTATGGAGAGGTCCTCAGACTTCAGTGTAGCTGGATTTAGTGGTGGCACGAGGGTACTGAAAATTTAGCAGTTGCCAAATCAGACTGGGATCCTTTTTTCTTTCTCCCCTCCATTCATTCTATATCTTTTTTCCTGTTTCGATGGTATGCTTTAGTGCTAGTGGTGGTTAGAGGACTGGCATTGTCTATCTCGTCACCTTTTAAGTGTATTTAAAATAAGTGACTTAGGCTTTTGATCAATTGGGAAAAATTCTTCTTAGTGTCCTTTAATTAATGAGCTTAAAAGAGATCATTGTCGCTTAAGAAGTGCTAAAGGAATACATGAGGATTACTTAGGCAAGTGATTCCATCCTCACCATGTTGAGTTGTTTTCTTGGCAGTGGCTGAAATGCTTGGAATAAAACCCCACATTTTGGGTGGGTTATTTGGTAGCAGAGTAGTCGTTTTGCTCACTTAAGAAGAATGCAAGCAATAGCTAATTGCTGTTCTCGTGTGTTTGCTAATGACAAACAAATAGCCCATTAGAATTTACAATTCGTTCTTTCCTGGTTTTGTCATTTCTTTTGCAGTATTTCCAAGCAAGGTTGTAGTTGTCACTAACCACGTTTTCATGCAGGGCTTTAGTTCTTTTAAAGGGGTCTGATCATTTCTGTATGCTGTGGTTACCATGGCAGAAAAAAAAAAAAAAGAAAATCTACCTTTGAAATATAATTGCAATATTATTCTTTAACTGAATTAAGGAACCTCTGTGGCTTCTTTGCTTAGAATAAATGTAGATATTTTAAACTGTCAAAGGCATAGCCTAAACGTGTCTTGTATAATGACGCAACTGGTTAGATATAAATGCATGAATTAGTGGAGGGGTTTAAAGATGTAACCTTTTGTTTATTTGTGGGTCTGGGGAGGAAAAATGACAATTTATAATCCATATTAACCATGCATATCTCAATTTTTCAGAGGATGGCCAGTATTTTCTAAAGGTCCTCATACCTAGTTATGCTGCTGGATCTATAATTGGGAAGGGAGGACAGACAATTGTTCAGTTGCAGAAAGAGACTGGGGCCACCATCAAGCTGTCTAAATCCAAAGATTTTTATCCAGGTAGGTGCAAAATTAGCCAATTGTTTTATTTTGAAGTTCTCAGGCATGTATGTACATTTCAGTGTGTTTCATATATTGGTCAAGTGCAGCAGGAAGCGTTATGTCTCACAAAAGTATGTTTCAAAGTGCAATTGTGAATATAAATATTCTGTCTGTTTTGGCATATGGAATGGACTGAGCTGGATGCTAACTGCTTGAAATAAGTTTAAAGTAATTTACAGTATTTCTACAAAAGGTTGTTTTCATTAACATTGACTGCTTTATTTTTTATTTTAAAAAAATCTAGCTTTAAGGAACCGATGTGACAGGTGGCGTAAAGATAATTGTTCGTTTGAAGTTTCCAGACATTATAATGACAATTAAGCTAGAATGAGTAAAAATGAGAGACTGCCTCGTAAAGAATGGGCCATTTACTTTAAATCCATTATGTACCTTCTTTCTGCTTCACTGCTTTGTTCATTGGCTCTGGAGTGAAGTAAAGAGGACAAGTGCTGCTCTTTAGATATTCTTTATATTGTGTTTATCATGATGGTGGAAGAAAACTCTATTATAAAACTGAAATACTTTGGATGAATAAAAAAAATTGCATTTTATATTAGCTGTATTAGTGCACATTAAGTTTTTTAATATTTGAGTATAATAGTAATAAATACCTGAATTAGCATTCCTCCTTTATAAGATTTCTGAAGAGAGAGTCTTACATAATGATAGACAAGATTTTAGCTTCTGCAGTTGAATAATTGGGGAATTTTTCCGAAAGATGAACAGATTAGCATTCTGTAATTGACCTTTGCTCTAGAGGGCTTTCTAAAAACTGATGCAAAACAACATAGCTGACACTTTTGTGTTTTGATTTTGTTATTTTTGAAGAGTAGCTGGTGGTTTAGAATTGAGTTGACTAGCTGTTGCTGACTTTTCTTCTGGAAAGTAAGCGCTGCTTTGCATTTGCTCTATTTTAACAAGACTGAATTCTACAAAATAGCAAAGACAGTTGGTATGGATGTAAACAGAGCACTAACTTTGGAGAATTTAGCTTTCCTGTCCTCTGACTTTACAGTCAGGCAGAAGTGGAATAACTTTTTATTAACAGAGATATTTTGGTCTATTTACAAATATGATTTTTGAAGTGGAAATTCTGATGCACCTGTTGTACATCTCCTTAATGAATGTAGCTTATAATACTTAAAAGTCAGAGATTGAAGTTTTGAATGTAGATTTTTTTTTTTCTCTTGAAAGTTACAGCTTATGAACTGGTGTTTGTTGCTTTTGAAGCTTTTTTTTTTTTACTTTTTTGTTTTTTTAGAAAGGTAGGAAAAACATGATCCTTTATTTTGAAAGGTATGTTAGGATAAAAAAAATCAATGTCGAATTGTGAAAACTCTTGGAAGAAATAAAGCATTCTAAAGAGCCTGATTGCAGAATTAATAACATAATCTGGGTAAAGAGCTGCAATAGTAAATTAAATTCACTGTCAATAGATGAAAATGAAATAGATCTTCTGCATTATACATGAGGGGTTATCAGATATGCAAGGATGTTACAGAAAATTGGTGTTTATGAAGAATATTCCAAATACCAAATTATGAACCTTTTCATTTTACTACAGTTTATTTACACTCACTCGGAAAGGACGCTCCAAAGATTAGATCTTTTGTTCAGTGCTCCAGTATAGTTCCTCTGTGTTCTGATTAAATCAGAATTACTTTTTTTTTTTTTTTTTTTTTTTTTTTTTTTTGGGGACTTTAAATTTTTTTTTTTTTTTTTGTGTAGGGAACTGTAAAGATGCAGCAGTAGTAGCAGAAGAACCTTTGAAAAATAAAAAAAATCACAAGCTAGAATGACCTGAGAAAAACATGTGTGACATAAACATATTCTCTCTTAAAATCAGCAGCAATAATATAAATAACTAGGGCAGGGACACTCAAACATTTTCTCAGTAACAGGTGCAAATGAAGTTCCAGTTTGACTTTATACAGTCTGCCTTGAATTTGCAGGCACGTTGTATTGTATGGAGAGTGAGTGTTTTCAGGAAGTTGGTGACTGATACCTGCTAAAGCATGGAGCAGGGATGGGAAATGGATTCCAGCGTGGCTAGCTCTTGTTAGTATTTCTGTTTGCGTCTGACCACCAGCCCATGGAATTTTCAGAGGTCCTGTCATTCCTTGAGCTGATGGCTTTTGGGTTTCTTCCAGACTCTCTTGCTTGTATAACATTAGGGAATACAAACCTTGTGAAAGAGCTGAGATGGTTATGATTTATTTTTCTTATGGAGTTTTTTAAACAATTACTGTTTTCCTAATAGATGTTACTTAGTCCTTACCTCTGATGCTTGTGACTACAAATATGTTTAATGTATGTTTCGCTGTGGAATGTTCTGCCATTGAAGCTTCTATGAAAGTTTTCTGTATTTCTGAAAAGTTTTAGAAAAGTAAGTTCCTGTTTGGAAAGGAGGAAGGTGCTTGTAATACAGAAGTTACAAATAGTTCCTATGATCTAATAGTGTTTTTTTCTTTTCCCTCTGTGATATAGGACTTCAGTATGCAGACTGATTTCTGTTGGAATTATTTTTGTGCGTCAAAAGGTGACATAATTACTGAAGAATTATATGGCAGCTCTAATTACAAGAAATTGAAGGAAAAAACAGCTTTGCATTGAACATTTTAGTTTACAAGATAGGAAGCAGTATACAAATACATTACTATCCACTACAGTTTTATTTTTGAGTGCACAATTTATTGTTCTCTTTTCAGGTTACCTGCTGACTTTTTCTTGTTGTCTGGACTCCTGCAATTTGACTTTGGATATTCTGATTCTTTTCTGTTCAGGCATGTCCCCCAAGACTAGCAGAAATAAAATTAAAATGGCAAAATATGCCCTACTTTTAAACTAAATGGTGCTGATCCTTCTGCATAGAAAGTACAGTGTGCATTGACTAGTAGGTTTTGGTTCAAAAATTAAATACAGATTTAGCCAACTTGATAAAGAAAGTGGCTATTCTGTAAAGCTATTATAATGTGTGGTTTATTTTTGAATAATAGAAGAAAAACTATTTCTGTTGTCTGAAGTTCTCATTGCTTATGTGTTTCTCATTCTGCATTTTAGTGAGCACGGGACTCAAAGCCACTCAGGCCATGTATATTTCTCCCTTGTGAACGCTGCCGTACACTCTCTTGTTTCTCTCTCGTGCACAGACTCTCTCCCTCTCCCTCCCTCTCTGCGTTCCCGCCCCGGTCTCTCACAAATGCACACACATGCACAAAATTATGTTACATCACATCATGTTGTTTATCTTGCAACAGGATCTTGCCTGATCTGAACTTGGTGCTTGAGTAAATTTGAACTTGGTCAGTGTTTTTCAATTTATTGGAATATGATGTCGTAGGTGTACTTAAATTAGATCATATCAAGAGCAGAGATTAATAAAAGCATAATTAAATGGGGGATAAGGTTTTACTGGTTTTAGCAACATATTAGATGTGTTGTTCTTATAGCAGATTTCTAGTCAGTAATTATATCAATGCTTGGACACTATAAAAGGTGGGAGTTTTCTCTCCCATCTCATGCAGACAGTGCATGAGGTATTGTGTGGCTGTTTTGTGCTTTTACCAAGGGAATTCTGGTTTTAGATGTTTTCTGTTTAAATATCAGATTTCTTTGAATTGTTCATGTGTTATGAGATATAGTCTAGCTAATCTTTGTCAGTGCCCTTCTGAAAACAGTTATTCTGACTCTTAAAGACGGTTCAAAAACATTGAATGTATAAGTAACACTTAAAGTTACAGGAATTTTTAATTAATAATCTTATAGCATCATTACTCCTATAAATTGCGAGGAAGGAGAAAGGTGTAATATATCAAGCTTGGCTCTCCATTTTTATTTCCTTCATAGAAACAGAGTTTATCATGTTAATTTGCAACTCTTAAAAATAACAAAATCTAGTGAGGAAAGAAATGTTTTAAATCAACACTTGAAAAAATGTTGAAGTGAAATACTGCTTTTTCAGCTATGGAAAAGAGTAGTGGAGTTAGAAGCAAGAATGGGTTTAGTTACTAGCTGTCTGTTCTGCTGATTCCTTGAAGGGCTTTGTGAAACATCAATAAATACATTTCATTTTTTTTCTTGATCCTACTTTTTTTCTTGAAGTGTTGACATTAGCTAATTAGATATAACATACATAAGTGTATATCTAAGATTTTTAGATTCTGGTGTAAACACTTACATGAGTAACTTCAGGGATAACAGGACTGAGGAAATTACTAAATAGTGAGTAGAGATTTCAGAGGTGGAATCTCAAGCTGTATAGATTTTTAAAGTAATCACTGATCTTTGTACTAGTTTTTTAAAAAAAGAGACCAACCACCAAAAACTCCCAAGTGTTGATTGCCAGCTGTTCAGAGAGATAATTCTCAGTTGGACAGTTGTCTGTTGCCTGGTTACTGAAACAGAATAAAAAAAAAAGTTAGCTTGTTAGCCAGCAGGTCTGTAGTATTTTGCATTTAAAAGGAAGCTGAAACTGACTATGTAACTTAGTAGGATCTTGAGATTGTTACATATCTAACTTGTCCTGTGTACTATCACTTAGCAGATTCTAATTTGGTAGGCTTAGAGAAATGTTGAGAAGTTAAAAGTAGAAATTTGGCACTCATTTTTTTTTCTACCTGTAGGGACTTATTTATGTTAATGAGTAAATCAACTTTGACATAGTAAATGGCTTTGGTTTGCAAGAAAGTGCCGTGTCTTTGTCTTGTATAGAAAGGTTTATAAGAACTTCTGACAGATTTGGAATGGTTAGTCTAACATGAATAAATGACACAGGCTAACAACTAACTTTGTTGTCAAAATAAAGAATAGATTGAGGACAGCTGTTATGACAGGGAAATGCTGTATTTTAACTTTTCAACGTTTTCATTGTGTTGGTTTTACCTAGGTTTCAATATAACTGCAAACTGAAGTGTTTTCAGTAGGTTAGAAAGCTTATGTGGATGAAGATGCTTCTAGTA